GTAGTTTTTACAGAGATGGCCACCCATGCTTGGTGTGCCTCAAGAGGATTCACGCTGCAAATCGACTCCAGTGATGTGCCAGCTCTCCAAAGCTTTTTTCAATTACCTTATCACCAGGCTAAATCAAGGTTTCCTAGCAGGTTTGCTGGCTCCCAAAGGGACATGTGTCTGTTAAAACCTGCACTGAAGACTGAGTTGCGCTGAAGGAGCCAGGATTATTAGATGTGCTGCTATTAAAGAGTAAAGAGAAACTTGATAGCCCCCCAAGTGCAATGAGGAAATATTATAGCAAAGTATTTGTATTGATCTGTTAGGTCCTCATGATTCTTCAGTTAAAAGTGTCAATAGCTTAACTCCTGAAGAGCTTTCCTGTTTCTAAGCTTCTGTAGACGAAGCTGGCAGACGATTAAGTCAATAGGGGTATGTGCAAAGCAGATATCAGCGCCCTATCTGCTACCTCAACCCAGGAGTCCTGGGCTGTTGGTCATCTTCTGCCTATCACTGCTATGTCATGCTTCACAAGAATGAGACCCCTTCAGCACAACAACCATAAGCTCTTGCACAACTTGGCGAATGCGTAATGTTCAAAGATGTATACCCGTAGAATTCTGCGATTGCATATCAGGTGGTTGCTGGTTTAGATTATATATCAACCTTAGCTCAAAGTGTTTCCCCCTCGTAGCCGCTGTGCACTTGGGAAAAGGGCGTTGCTGCTTCCAGACGTAGACATAGAAGTCTCAGCAGGTAGTATATTCCCCTCAAAGCCGCGGGGCATGGCTTTTCGGGCTGATCCCGGGCCTTCACATAGCAGTCACTAGGTAGTATATTCCCCTCAAAGCCGCGGTGCTTAAAGGGGATGGCTTTTTGGGCTGTTCCCTGGTCTTCACATAACAGGTTCACTAGGCAGTCACTATTCCCCTCAAAGCCACAGGGCTTAAGGGGGATGGCTTTTCGGGCTGTTCCCGGGCCTTCACATAGAACTTTTACTCGGTATTATATTTTTGTGCTTAGAGGGAATGGCCACGTGGCAGTTTCGCCAAACCCTCTACTTATCAGACTAATATCACCAGCGTCAGGCTCTCAGTCCCAATTTTGGGGGATAGGTATGTCATCTCCATGCCGTATTTGGGGAGTTATCTAACCTCCACGCAGTGTTGGGGGATAGTTATCTAATCATCACTCAATGTTCTTTGTAAATCTGTGGAGTGATGAGGCCCGAGCCTAGATGCCAAACTCAAACTATATGCTGCTTATAATAAACATATTAAGAAACACGTGAGTTGTCTCACTGAAATAGTAAAGTGTATCAATAATAATCATAGTATAGTTTGTAAAATGATCAGAAAAGGTTGAACGTACAAGAAAAATGACACATTTAATTTGTTGAAAAAGATCATCATCAACTCAAACCGGGTTAACAACACACATTTCGTGAGAGAAAGTAATTTCCTTTTACATTTCTGCACAGTTTGAAAAAACAGTAGGGAATCCCCGGCCACTGACAATGCAGTCAATGAAAATATACCAGCCACCAACATCGTTAACACACTAACCAGACAGCTGAATACACCACACAGTCACTGCTGGGTGCTGTAACCCAGATTTTATTTTTCACACCATATTTCAAGCCATCAGCCATATGTACTGCTGTATCCTGTACATACAAGACAACTTTTGTCAAATATTTAGGAAACTGTGTTATGTAGCAAGCTAGAAAACACAGATACATACATATTTGACTAAAGATTTAGGATATAATCGAATTTCTATAATAATCTAATGAGTACATGAAGAAATAGCTTGCTCATCTTTGAGAATATAAACATTTATTTTTCTCAACTTTGAGGGAACAATAACTAATAAACTTTCCATTTGTCTGCATTTCAACAGCAAAAAGAGTGTTAGAACAGGGAATTTGTACCAGTAGCCCAACTGTGCTGTGATAACTCCAGGGCGCTGTCCATGGTGCTGAAGTGGCAGATAGATTTGAACCCTTTTCGTTAAAACCAATCCTTCTGTCAGTTTTGTATTCGACCTACAGTTTTCTTAATCATTATGCTAAGATAGTTAGTCACTTAGGAAGGGCATCATATCTGAATTCTATGATCTCCTGCTGGCGTTCTCCTCAGAATCCTCTAACTCTAGACTTAATGCCTGGAAAAATGACTTACAGGAAGATCTAACATTGGAACAGTGGAGCACAGCTTGTAAGGCGGCCCAAACACAGACGGCTAATACGCGACTAAAACTAAAGCTTCTGCAATACAAGTGGCTAATGAGAGTGTATATTACACCAGAAAAACTGAATAAATGTAATGCTAATATCCCAGACACGTGCACCAGATGTGGGGAAGCAAAAGGCACACTGTTCCATTGTCTATGGTTATGTCCAAGAATAAAGGAATTATGGGAAGAGGTTAGGGTAACAGTACAGAATATTTAAATGTTCCTACTTGGCCTATATCCGGATGGACATAACATACAACATTATAAACAATTTTTTATAGATATCTGTTTATTACAAGCAAAAAGAGTGATTGCCTTAACATGGAAAAAGTTGGGCAAACCTAGTATTGCACAGTGGTTTAGGGAACTTTCTTTATGTCTGCCTTTAGAAAAAATCACTTACATTCTCAAAGACAAACAAGAACTGTTCCAGAAGGTCTGGGGACGTTTTATAGAGTATACCAAGAACAACGACCTATCTCAATTTCTGAACGAACCTGGGGCAGGATAATGCGATAATGCTATAATATGCTATAATATGTTAAAATGTAAATTACTGTGATATCCTTTGTAGAAATACGGTCCTATTGCTGGAAAACTGGATGGTTGCCGATGTATTAGAGTTCCCTTGTTGTATGTACCAATTTAATTTAGTGTTGTTATTTTTCTTTAATGTAAAGTAAAGTAGTTGTCCTTTGTATATATGTATTGCTCTTGGCTCTATGTCTTCGTCCTATGTATGTGATTTTTTGTAAGCTGAAAATCAATAAACATATTGATTAAAAAAAAGATAGTTAGTCACAACAATGAGACTGAAGTCTTAACATTGAGATGATAAATGTTATCCCCCCCCCATGTAGAGCTAGTGAAGATGAGGAACACGTTCAGCCTCGGATAGTCATTTGTGCCTGTAGCCATCAGGCTGTACAACAAGGGCTGACCATGTGACCCAATAAAAGTAACCTGTACTGGACATTCATAACATCTGCACTGTTTGTACAGATGACTTTGACCTGCACTTGCATCTGCACACTTACATGTAAATAAATCTAACAATCGATAGTTCATGTTTTTCACTCTTACTTTGTCGCTGCTTTAACTCCTGAATTTCCCCACGGGGATAAATAAAAGTCCATCTTATCGTATCTTAATGAGATTAGTCTTAATAATGAGATACTTAGTCATACTGTAGTAATGAGAAAACTAAGTCATAATAATGACTTAATATAGTAAATCATATATTTGTTTCCTATCACTAGCGGAAATGGGCTTCCATAGTTAAGCTTGTTAGTAAGACAGCAGCAAAGTGGAAATAGTTGGCTGGCTAAAATTGATAAATAGTGGAAATATCTTGATGGAGTAAGCAAATAGAGCAATGGATAAACAGTTGAAATAGTGGCTAAAAGTAATACATAAACAGTTTAAACAGTTAGCCTAAAGTGTGGGATGAAAAGTAAGCCAACCATAATAAGTGAAAAGTTTAAATATTTAAAAACAACGAATAAAAAGTTGAATTAGTTGATTTAAAGTACTCGTACTAGAAGGGCCGTCCCTCCCTACAGGCCGACATTGCACAGGGGGCCTCGGCTTATGAGCTCGGCTTGTGTGCAGTTGTCCGCACAGTTCTCCGCGCAGTTCTCCGCGCAGTTCTCCATGCATCCAGGAAATGCCGACGTATTCCCCTGTAAAAGCATACTGAACGACATACATGCACATTCACCATTCATCTCACTGTATAAAAAAGTAACTGTGTTGATAATAATAATAATAATAATAATAATAATAATAATAATAATAATAATAATAATAAACAGGACATTTTGCAAAGTACTTTGTTTCCCAAAAACATTTTTCACTCCTGTCAGGTGGGGTGGGGGGAGGCCTCATCTCACAATGTCGCTTGGGGCCCCAAGTTGGCCAAGGACGGCCCTGCGTACTAGTATGAAAAACTGTTTTGTCACCCAATTGATAGTAGGCTAGAATGCTTCAAATCTCAACACTTGACCAAGTTTGGACGACTCACATTTAAAGAATATCCACTGTCATGACTAATAATGTTGAATAAAGAACACATTTGGAACATAACGAGTGGTGTGGGGAATTGGACCTCATGTGATAAGAACATGGGTTGTGAGTCTGGAAAGGTTGGGAACCACTGCATTACGTCATCACATCTGTGTGACCCGTGCATTGAATGAGACAGTGGTGCGGTTTGTGTATTTATGATGCAGGTGATTCTTTAAAGAGTTTTGCATTTGTCAAAGATATAATGTACAAATAGACATGGATAATCAGCAATGTTAATATTGAATACTTCTAACAAAAGATGTCAAATAAGATGATACAAGTGGTTTCTAAATCAGGTTAAAAAACACCAAAGGGAATATGAGCAATTTCAATAGATGTTAAGTGAAATACAAATAGACGGAATCATTTTAAAAAGTGACAGTTGATTGAGAGCAACACCCTCTTAGAGCACATTTCGATGACATGATGGATTCCTGAATACTCTGGTGAAAAGAAAGGAGAGAAATGGAAAGAGAGACACAGAGAGAGAGAAAGGCAGACTAAAGGAAAAACATTTGCAGCCTGCCCTGCCCCCTCACCCCTCCCTGGGGAACAAGAGATTATCCAAATGTATATATGCAAGACAGAGGGAAACAGACTGACAGAGAGGAGGAGGAGAGAGAGAGAGAGAGAGAGAGAGAGAGAGAGAGGGAGAGAGAGAGAGGAGGGAGAGGGAGGGATACACAGCGACACGATTGGACGAGCGTTAGAACATCAAGCGTGATAGAAATATTTCTCTCGCAGTCTAAGAAATAGAGGTAGAGACCGACAGGGACAGCAGACTCAGCTTTTAACGTCTCAGAAAGAGACTTAAAGAAAGAGGACACAAAGGCAATAAGGAAAGGAGGAGACAATAGAGAGCTGGACTGATTGACTTATGACTTCTGAGGGCTGTGGACATTTTGGCTTGAGAACAGAAGAGATTTCAAAGTCAGAGTAAACGCGGCTCAACATGTAGATGTTCTGCACGTTTCTGGTTAAATCTCCCCCCCCCCCTTTGCCTCCTCCCCAGACTTGAATCATTTACCCTGCACGCCAGTCAGCAGAGACAAATCTAAATGTGTTTGGATAAATCTGGGGGATGCGTCTGAGAAGAAGATGCACAGAGAAGAAGTGTGACATGGTGCCGACCCAAATTGACAGAGACGAGGAAAGAGAGGACTGTTCAGGGGCAGACTCGTCTCCAACCAGACACAGGTATTCTCTATTTGATACTACGATCAGTCAGACAAAAATGTTTAATAGAACTACAGTCCATATAATACTCTAATTTTGTAATTCTCAGTCTCTTTGATGTGTGTGTTTGGCTTTGTAATGTTAAATAGTTCTTTCATTTGAAATTTTAATTTGTACGGCTTCATTATTTTATTATATTATAGTATTTAATAGAAGAATCACCAGTAATTAGCTTTGTGAGAATGTAACTGTCTAAAGTGCAAAGCAATACCGTGTATCTTCAATACATTTGCAGATTCATGTTCCAATAAATGTAGTAATAAAATAAGTAATACTTAGGAGGCTGTCTCTGTAAACTATAACTCACAGACAACACGCCTCTGGTTGTCTACAACTGGATCAAATGCGTCATTAATGGTGTTCTTGATTTAGAGTAACAGATTAAGTGAAAGCCATACAACTAACTGCTGAACTGTCACAAGCCATAACCATCCAATACTATAATCAATAATAATAAAACGCAGCGCTGTGCTTAGTATCAATGAGAATCCTGTGGTCAGCCTGTCACTCACACACTTTGTTGCATTTGTTAATGTGAGGAGAAAATGTGTAGGCTCTGTCTAGAGAGAAACTACATGAAGATGGAGGAGGAGGAGGAGACAGACATTTTGCCTGTCAGAGACTAAAGAAAAAGGAGCAACTAGAGACAACTGTGGCTGCTAACAGACTTATAAGTGCTTCCTAAATCACCCTGCTGTCAGATATACAAAAAGAGACAAAGACATGACTGCTGGGTATTGATTGTGACTGAGTGCTCTACCTACTTGGACAATACAGCCCCTGCTCGCAGCAGAGGGGGAGACAGAAAATAACCTCTACCTAAGAGGCAGGCAGTAGCCACAGAGAGAAAGAGAGCAGGGGAGAAATCCTCTTCCTCTCTATCGACCCATCTCGTCTTCAGGATGGCGGGCTCAGCCATGGCATTCACCTTTGCGGCCTTCTGCTACATGCTCACCTTGGTGCTGTGCGCTGCCCTCATCTTCTTCGTCATATGGCAGGTGAGTAGCACTGGAAGCAGAAATGTATGGTCTGTTAACGCTTCCTCCCACGCAGGCAGACAAACACATCCGCCTACACAAGGTTGTACAACACCAACGGGCATACACACACACACCTCATACACACACACACACCTCACTCAGGTACTCAGGAGGCACAGTAATGGCATGCATAAATGTTTCCAATCTCAGTGTAATTGTACCTTATATTTGACTGACATTTCAAATTGCCTCTTCGAAGTCAACAAATGCCACTTTATACCCTTCAATTTCAACACCTACATGAAACTGGAAATACATAATTAGTTGAAATAGACCAAAGTGTTGCAGGAGTTGAAAAACATTGTGTTCAGTCTGAATTCCTTCACCTATTTCCGTACAGTAACATGCAGGTTGATCAACAGTATAATTACCTGGAGCTCGTCTGACACCCCTCTACAGTAGGCGACCTGTCATCCCAGAGAACTGACAAACAGTTCCTCAAACAAGATGTCCAGGCTTCAGCAAACTGCAGCAAATGAGTACAGGGAGAAAGCAAACCTCAATAATCACACATCTCAGTGCCAGGCTGTTGTGAAGCTCTCTGCTGGCGGCATTTTGAGTGAAATTTGCACAGATATGGCCGCACACCGTTGCACTCGGTTTGCTCGTTTACTCAAGGGCAGGCTGAACAAACACTTGAAGCTTTAATCTGCCACCTTTCAGCCTTCAAACCCACGGAGGCAGGAATAATGTGAAATACATCATTATGAACATTAGACTTGAAATGACTGACATACCAATTGACTAAGTGGGTGTGACTCCATGTGAGTCAGGCAGTGTGTCTGTGTGAGAGAGAGGTCTGGCTCAGCGTTCAACCATGTGATCCAAACGCTTATCAAAGTAAGATGATGTCCACCCCTTCCCCCAGTCCGCCTCTAACCACTGGTCCAGCACACCAAATCTACGTGGCTCCCAACCAATCAGAACGTTTGTTCACTGCTATAGTAACCATGGAGCCCACTGAGGGGCTCACCGTGTCGCCATGGAAACTGCATCTGTTTACAACAGTGTGAAGGAAGACCAGGGAGAGCCCTATAGACTTGTATGGGGAAATTACCAGCAGGGCTTTCTTCTATTTTAAACTGGATCTGTCATTGTTGATCAGCGAATCAGACGCTCTCTTATCTGTGAATAATGTCTGCTTTTATAGCTTCTCAATGAGCCGACAAAGAAAAGCTCCACTGTTTAAAGGCTCCACTGATGATAAGCACAGTGGGTGGCCTTTACACCAAGACTTATTAGTATTTTTATGGAGCCATTAATCAGCGAGAGCTGGAACAATTATCCTTCATACTCCCTCCCACACAGGGAGCAGGGGGAATGATTGATACATATATGAACCATTACGTTATTTTCTCTACAGTGACCCTCAATTCCATATATGGTTATTTATTCTCATACATACTCATAGAGTTTTATATTTCAAATACAACAATTTTTTCAATGTGAAGTGATTTCAGATTATTGATAAATAAATGATGCTTTTCCCTTCACAGCTGTCAATGCCCGGGTATTTTCACATCATTTCCCATGTGAACAAAGTGTTCATACTTTATCAATATACACTGGTTTATTATTATTATTTTAGATGAAAAACAGGAAAAAGGGGTAATTCTAGCTCCTTGGGGGACTTCATAATGACACATGAGCTCTTACAATCACAGTATGTATGCATTTAGCATTCGATCGAGCAAAGTGCGCGATGTGGCTGCAGCTGCACCAGAAGCAGTGGGTGTGCAGAACAGAGAGCTACAGTACGTGTTGAACAACAGGCTGAGACAGGAATATTTCTCGAGAGCGTGCAGTTGAAAAGACACCAACTTTGCCTCTATTTGATATACAGTTGCAGAATGTGCATTCATTAGTGCCCTGAAGGAAACCCATTGAAAGAAAACAACTAACACGTATGTTGTTTTTCAGATCATTGCATTTGATGAGCTCGGCACAGACTTCAAAAACCCCATTGATCAGAGCAATCCCACCAGAGCGGTAAGAACCATGCTGCTTCACTTCTTTCAAGCTGATCAAACCCTTGTGTGCACACAGGAATCCCACCTTTTCATTTCCAAGAAGAACCTTTACTGAACTACACATAAATGCTGCAAACAAATCCAGGGTTTTACCCCCAAAACGTTGCATTTGACCTTTAATCTATCAGCAAATATTACACATGTAGAAAAAGCAGAGATCAAAAGCAGAGATCAAAACCTCCTTAAAACACACAGACAGACGTTTTTACAGATGACCCCTCTATTATCCTAAAATAGCAAGCACCCCTTTATATAAATGCAGTTTTGTGTTTTTGGAATGAAATCTTTCAAATGTTTTATTCAGCTGCAGTTAGTCGTTTAAATGTTTGTTTTCAAGGAAAACTTGTTTGTATGCAGATTGAGACAATCAACCTTCTTTAAATACAAAAAAGAGCAATGAAAATAAAGCTTCTGTTCACACAATTAAATACTCAAATAAGCGCATATACTTGGTTTCCCTCACTGTAACACAAACTAAGAAGTCACATCTGAAAGTCTCTGTCTCATTCCTTTGCAAGAACAGACAATATCAGCACCATGAGTCAATAACGACTGCCATTATTCATTTAGCAAGTTAACAGCAGCTGTGAATGTCTTTTTCACAAGTTAGCTAATGTTCCAGCAATCATGTGAACCTGCATCTGAACTGCAACGTGAGAGTGATGAGGAGTGGGAGAGGAAACTGTGAAAGCAGACCGGGGGTGTGGAGGCACGCCGCCAGCTACAGGGGGGTGGACACAATAACTGCAGCACCTGTACAAAATATAATGCAACTGAAAACAGAAGCTGTCCAAATACTGATGTTAAGGAGTAGATGTTTTATTTCTGACTAATATAAATCATTAGAGGACAGGTTTGCGTTTTCCCTATCCTGTAGTGTGTGGTTTGTGTGCATGTAAATGGTCTGCAAAGGCTAACATCCAAAAGTTCCCTCCAGAGGGAGTTTCTCTCTCACACACTCAAACCTCTGCCTGAAACGCCTCCAATGGAATCCTTTGTTTACTTCCGTAACATAGTGAGATCACTAGGTAACTCTTCTATTGGCTATAATCCACCATTGTACGTGATAAGCTAAGGGAGGGACATCTCTAAGCGGTTGATCAATCACAACAGAGCAGACCAGCTAACCAATCAGAACAGACCGGGCTCTGGTTTCAGAGAGAGGGGGAAAGAGGTGCTGGGGGAGGGGCCCATTTCATCTGTACATGTCACCATGTGAGATGTGTTCAGATAGAATATAAATTGCTGGTGTGTTCCACTAATACCAGATTCAATAAACTGCCCAAACAGAAGAAAACATACCTGGCAACAGCTTCGGAAAATAAACAGCAATTATTTCAGATTTTAGTGAAGAGCAATGTCGTAACTCAACTGCTGCCGTCTGTGAAAAAGACGTGTGACATTCAAAATGAACACAACAGACTAACCAACACGTGTTTCCTCATCAGGTTCCTGTGGCCTTCCATCACAGTTGCAGTATAAAAGAGAGACAAAGTGTTTGGCTGCTTGACAGAGGAGGGACTGAAATGTAGTGTTATTCCTTCTTGCTAAGCCTTTGAAAAGAGCTTGCCAAATTGCTGCAGTATTTTACCTCTCTCCATTAAATAGCACATTACAAAAGTCAAGCCCTTGGCCTTTCCTTCATTTAAAGCTTTCTTTATTGGTGAAACCAGTTGAATCAATTATATTGTTCTTCACTGCCACTTAAATAGAGTACGTATTATTCTCTGTTCTTGACTACTCTCTTTGCCGTTCATTTCTTTGACTTGTTATGCACACTGTGAAATGTCCCCAATGCGTTTGATTCATGTCTAAAGTCGTGTTTCGCTTGTTGCAACAATAACAAAATGCATAGTGCAGTGGATGACCCGTGACTAATTAGGGCAGTTTCCAAGTTGTAAATCTAAACACAGTTACAGGAGGACAATAATTTGTAAGTGCGATTACTAACCATAAAATGTCAAATAATTCAGCCGGCACGTAAAATTAAATTCTAAACACTTTGTCTCGGGGAGAAAATTGAAGAGGCACGTAGTACATTCATGGAAATTAAGAAAAAATTACTTTCATAAAGAAAGGAGCTAACTTTACACATCAGTCCATTGTTGTGGTCTTCACATTTCAAAGTGTCATTGAAGGACAAAGCACGCATAATAAGAAATTGACAAAAACCAACATCTGCAAATAGACAGTGACGTTGGAGAGCCGGCATCGGTCTTGCATGCTGGATGTTGTGGATTCAGGGCAGAATCTACTTTCAGGTCACCGAGGGAGTTTGAATTCATGTCCACAGTTTGAGAGAAGGTGCAGTCTGTGCCTCAGGCCAAAGGGAATCGACATCACACTAGCCTCCATTCTGGAAGCCGACATCCTGTAACTTAGACAGATGTCTTAATATGTCACGAAATGAGTAAGAGAGTCTTTCGAGCTGAGGCTATCTATAGCATATCAATGCTGCTTATCCAATCACAGTGAATGAAGCAAAACAAATAAAAGATCCATCTGGTAATTACCTAGGATATTGGTTCTTTTCTTTGGTATTGAGCAGAGAATAATGTAGATTGATGAATTACAGCATAACATCTCATTTGCCTTGCTAGCTAATGAATAAACACCCAAATAAAAGATCAGCGTAGAGGCCCCTAGGTGCTGGAAGATAAATGGCTTTCATTTGGAGAAAATGATCACTGAGCCCTCTCAAAGCTCTCAGGATACAAGAACATTTGATCTCGACTGAAAATGGCTGATGTTCTTTATGTGTTGATGGAAAATATCCATAAAATTGGCTTTCTCGACAACCCATAATTACATTTTTCGCTTAGTTGCAAGGGGATTTTTTTTTGTCATTATATAATTGAAAGTAACTTAAGAATTTGAAATGGAAAATGACGTTGTTTTGGCAGCAAGTTATTATTTATTATATGTATTTTCCAGCCATATCTGTAATCATAGCCATAGCACTGACATTTAGGCAGGATTCTCTTTGTGTTTGAAAGCTCTCATCTGATCTAGCTTTTGCATATTGTTGATGCGTCAGTGAAATATGTCAACAATTGTCAGCTTTAAATAAAAGCATGTGTTATCTCTGCCTGGAGATTTTCATGGGAGATACAAGAAGTAGGAAGGATGAAGAAATATGCAGACCATTAACCAGACTTTCCTTACATTTGCAGAGGGAAAGGATTCTCAACATTGAAAGAATCTGCAACCTGCTCCGCAGAGTGAGTAATCTTTTTTTACTTCTTTTTTCTGGTATGTTTTTGTTTTGCTGCTGGTGGATGACTAAAACAGAGGGGCTTCACGCATGACCATTTGACTTTCTAGCTATTGTGAGGACCATGACGCACTCTGATTAATGTCACATGTAGCTTTTCTGTACTGCCCACCATCAGCGCTCTGCATTCACACAGAGATGGACATTCAGTTACTGTACACCGTCAAGGTTCTGTGTGTTGTGATGGATTTCTGTTTCCATTTCGAGGCATTCAGAAAGAGAACTCGATGTCCCTGAAAATAAATGTGACTTGCTGTGGAGGCCATTTTGACAATTTATGTGTTGAAAAAAGTTTTAAATAAGCTCAACTAATCATTAAAAAATAGAACAGTAAAGGTTGATTTATTAGAGATGGTAGCATGCTAATGGTAGTGGTCCACATACATTTAAACAAAGTATAGTTTCATCTCATAAGGTCAGAATCACAATTTGAACCATAATGCATTTCAATTGTGTGAAAATAGTTTTTTTAATGATTTGAATTAAGAGTTTGTCATGGGATACACTGGGGTAGTAGATAATGCTTAAAACATAAAGAATACATGAATGTGTTTAAAATAACAACATTTTCTTAACTTACAAAAAGTGGAACTGAAATGTTTTATTTATTTTGACTTATTGAAATGATTCTCAAAATAATTGAGGATTATGGAATTACATAAATAAGTTATAATAGCTTATATAAAGTCATTTTATCATTTAATACCACCACAACTTTTCAATTAATATTAAGTTGGTTCAACTCAATAAAGCTTTTAAAGTTCAAAGCAAATGATGTTGGTTGTATTCAATAAGTTTGGTTAGACAGAACATACTTGTAGGATCAACTACAACCCTTCAATAATGAGAAGAGTTGGAACTACTTAAAATGATATTGTTTTGCCACAGAGTTGCACTGAAGGGAGCTTATGTGTCACAAATACTATATACCCACTCCACTACTATATCATTGAAAAAGAAATTAGAGGACACATTTTTGTTAATTATAGTCTATGTAGGGGAAATGTTATATAACCATAGTCTTTAACTGTTGCAGAGAGAAAAAAAGATGTACACATTACATATTCACAATTGACTTTTAGATTTTTTTATTTTATTTTGACATTTAGTTTGTAATTCTTTATTCAGTCTCAGGGTTAGTCTCAGGGTTCAAGCCAACCCAGCCTTGAGGGTTATTCCTTTATTAACCAATAAGTTGTGTCCCAACAACAATATTGCCAATAAGAGTGGTAACAATTGATTGGAGCAGTTAAAAGTTGCTGTTTAAAACAAAAAGAATGATGCCAATTTAAAAGTCGTTGTTTGTAGAAGCTGTAATAAACATCAACCAAACAGCAGACCAAGTCAGCAACTGGTTTTTCAATAAATAGTTTTTAAAAAGTTGACCGTGATGTCATCCATTGGTTTGTGGCCTCATTTTACAAAACTAGACGAGGTCATCCAGCAGTGAGTCTGCCTCCAGTTTTTCTCACATTTTCGATAATCCAGGGTTACCATTGGGTCTTGACCCATTTCTGCCAATCGATCTAATTGTTTTGTTAGGAGCCAGAAGCGATGTAAATAAAATACAGGTTTCTGGCAAATCTGCATTGGTTTCACTATTCAGACCCTTATGCTGTGTCCACTTCTTTTATAGAACCTATGACTTCTACTTACCTCTCAAAAGCAGTGAACATGTACGTGAAACTATATTTTATCCAGTCTTTTACTATATTTGCATCCGTAACAGCAAGTTATTTGTAACATTTACACCTTCTGTGTGAAAGTCTTTGCCTTGCAGTGTGGTTCTGGTTTTATCGAGTGTATCCAACATCTAGCCCATGCATTTTTCAGTGTTTTCCCCGCAGTTGTTGAAGAGCGATTACTCATGAGTGTTATGTTACGCAGACCTATCTAACCTGCCTCCCTGTGCCTGCTCTGGTTAGTTGGTGGTACCGGAGTACTCCATCCACGGGCTCTTCTGCTTGATGTTCATGTGTGCTGCAGAGTGGGTCACACTTGGCCTAAATGTCCCACTTCTCTTCTACCATCTCTGGAGGTAAGGTCCCATAACATATGTCTGACATGCTTTTGTATATCTGGTGCGCGCGTGAGCCAAAAGTCTCTCTTTTTTCCAGGTTTCTTCATCGGCCAGCTGACGGCTCAGTGGTCATGTATGATCCTGTCAGTGTGATGAACGCCGACATTCTCAATTACTGCCAGAAGGAGTCCTGGTGTAAGCTAGGCTTTTATCTGCTCTCTTTCTTCTATTATCTCTACAGGTCAGTACAAATTCACAATCTTCTCAATTCACAGATGCTTGATTAGGTTTCAGTGATGGCTTTCAGATTTTCTTGCAATGTTCTGTGACCTTAGTTGCAAAAGAGAAGCGCAATTACAGTTTTCTCCGTATTTTCCATCTATTGCCGTGGACTTTTTCCTGCTGAAGTATGGTCTACTCCTTGATCAGCTTCTAGCAGACAGGATATCTGGAGAAATAAAAGGACGTATCAGTAAGAAAGACTCAGAGGAACAAATGGAGACATTAACTCTTCCTCTCTCCATCTATCTTTCCCGACACTGGCTTGGGTTGTCAACAGTCTAACATTGGACAAACACAAAAGACTTATCTGAGTGATTATTTGAATGTAAAGGACTCCATTATATCACTTTGACCCAGACCATGCTGTCAGACGACTGGACAAAGTTTGAAAGGACTGAAACAAAACAGAAAGAGGACGCATCAGGTGTGTTGCCTTTGAACCATTATACGAATCAACAGTACATCTCTGAAGGGCTGGAGTTGTCCCATGCTGCTCTTACTGATCCAGTCGCTCAACTCACTGTGAATCTCCAAACACTTAGGGGCTGGAAAACGAAATAACATGTCTGTATTCTTTGACTTTGATAATGTACTCAGAGCAGGGTTGTTTTATTAAGATTACATGTGCTTAAGATGAGAGCCATCTGTATTATCAAACCACTGCTTTGATTGTGTTAGAGGTGCATATAACTGTAAGAAACAGGTTCAAGTGTATAGGAGGACTTTAAAGCACTGTAAGAAATTGACACGGCTGGCAGGGGAATGGAGATGAACCAACACAACATCTCCTTGACGCCACCCCCTACCAAAAGTCAAATGTCACACTGTATCTAAAACAACGAGGAATAATTATAACTTTGACCGCGAGGGTCAGTGCTTGTGATGTGCATTTCATAATAAGTATGTCCATACATGTAAGGATGTATTTTAGCTACAGGCTTTCCAAAGAGCTTCGTGCTCAGACATTTAATGCCAAAACATATATCTGAAAAAAACATTGTGCCAAATCAATTGGGGCGAGTGAAAGGAAACTAAGAGTGTGGCTTTTTCAACTACATGCTAAGGCACTGTGAAGTTCTGTTCTTTATTTTCACTTTCTGTAACACACATTTCATTTTGGCACAATGTTTTTTAATTGATGAACATTTAAAAAACGTGTAGATCTGTTGTGGGTTTTTTTTTTTTTAAGTGACCTTTTTCCAGTTTATTCTAACTTATCAGCATCTATACTATTGTCGTTTTTAGCACAGCAACTTTACTCTGATGTGAGGTAGAATGTAGAAATCTCATGTACAAGAAGCAATTAAAAACAGCAAACAAGCAATGTGATTGGATTGAGAAGACATTTCCATGCAGTGTTATTTATTTATGTAATAATAGCGAGTGGGATACAAGCGGCAGACGAGACAATTAATGCCTATGACAATGTTTCCGTTTTTCTCAGAAGTGTAAAGGCAGTGATGTCCTCTCATCACGTCTGCAATCATACAGACAGAAGTGAAATGTTGCTGATGATCGAGATTCGTAAACAGTAAAGCCTTTCCTCAACTAGCCTTTGTTATCATGTGTTCATTAGTTTGATCTGTGAGTAGATAAGTGATGGTTCAAATGTGTGATTTTAAACATCAGTAGAAAATACAGAAGATACTGGACCCTGAGAACAAACTGTGTTTGTCATACGCCCGACACGTAGTAAATGGTGGCAACAATTCATTGATGCAAGTTTTAGTATCACTAATATTCAGGATGTTCATTCAACCCTAACTACAGATCACAGTTAAGTAATTATTATTGTTATATGTACATAAATAATTTTCAAATTGTGTGTATGTTAGCCTATGACAGGTTGAACTACATTTCAATTGGAAGCAGAGATAGAATAAGGCTGGCATATTTATAAGTTAGTTGGTGTCAATAAATCCCATGAGAAGACTTAAACCAATGTGTATTTCGTTTTGACTCCCCTATTCTGTCTGTGGACCTCAGACCCAAAATGTGTTACTAAAGTGTGAAAGAGGTTAAAAATATATTATTTAATCTTAAAGGGTAAATCATTTCCAAGCTGGTTACTATTGTTTTCAGAAAATTTCACTCACAGAAATGTGAAATGAAGCATTTCATGGGGCCTATTTTCAGCAGGGGATTGATACACATTGCTGCACAAGTGAGTAGTTACCATTGACTTTATTTGCAGCAGGACCCTGACGCACCAAACATCCTTCTTATCTTTATAGTCTTTTCAAAGGATTCGTTGACATAAAAAAATATCCTCAGTCTTGTCTTTTAAATAAGAAGTTGACTCCAAATTAAACAATGTTTTAAAAAAGAATGCTTTCAAAACAATATTAAAATGTCCTGTGTAGTGACTGCTTCCTACAGTCCATTACATTATGCTTCACCTTTCAGGAAAAATAATAGCCTCAATGATATGCCACTAATTAAAAAATCACCACAAACACAAGTCCTGTGTCGATCACAGTTTGTTTTATGTCACTTAGGAACAAATGAAGGGTTTTAAAAGAACAACTTTTTTCAACCAAACTGCAGCAACTTTAATAATCTTATGTGAGCGTTTTTGCACACAGTACACACTTTGCACACAGTATCAAGACTCTGCCAACAATATGAGTGTATGGAGTCTGGACAATCACTATTAAAGCACAGTAACACGAGGACAACATGAGAACTGCCGCTTGGTTGAATGTCATTATGTAGTTGCTCTAAACAAAGCATTTTAGAAAATTGTATTTGAGTATATCTATTTGTATCCGTCTTTTATACATTTGTCATCAATGTACGCTACAGTGATTTGGTGGATTATTTTATATTTATTAGGTTACACTATGACGTACAGTTAATAAAGCGATTCTCATGCCGTATTCTAATAAAACAGTTGCCAAAAAAATATCATCTCCAAGTTTCTTACTTCCTGTCTGCTGACGGTCAGTGTCTTTTGGCCATCTGTGCGGAGTTTTGCAGACATGATGTTCTGCCAACACCAGAGATGAACTGGAAGAGAGAAATATAACTGAGGATGATGAGGGTTGTTCGAAAGCGAGAATACTGAGTGGTGCATTAGACGGAGGATAGCACACAAAGGGCCACGTCAAAAGCTGTCGAAAACAGCTGCATTCAGAAGTGGTTTCAGAGACATTCACACAAGCTCTTAAAAAGCACCAAAATAACTGAATTCCATGAACAGTTTGCTGATGTAAAAAGAGCTTCTAGTAGAGAGGCGACAAATTGAGGATGATAGCCTTTCATTAATGTCTGCATCACAAGAATACTATACAGAATATCAAATTATAGAGCTCTGGATAGCTATTGGTTTGGATAACAAAAGTAATTTGACACAAAAGAACATGTATATCTCCACAGAAAGAGATTACTGATGAAATGAACACTGCAACTTTATAACATTTAGCATTTTTGACACTTTTGTGCCGGGCAGTTTTCTTTATTCTGCATTGAAATGGATGAAAGGAGACGCAGCAGTTAGTTAACAGTTGAGTCATTTGTAGGGTCTGTAATGTTTGCCAGGTCTAAACAATGATTCAGACAGAGCAACACCAATGGCGTTTTCCCTCTGTTGGAAAAGGACATATCATTCCCTGTCCATTTGCTGTCACCATGGAAACTAAATTGTATTAGAAATTCCGGTTGACTCACTCGGAGGCTCTCACTCTAAAAAAACAGAAAACAATTCAAGTTCACAGGCCTGGGAGCATTTCTTTTCTGTCTCTTTTTAATTCATATTCCATCCGATGCATATGTAACAGGTTCATATATGTAGTCATGACGACCACAATCCCCTTTTTTTTCTATGCATGACACCTGCTTCTCCCAGGATACACACAGCAACATACACACGCAACACATGCATCTGCTTCCCGTCTTGCCTCCTCCCACGGTTCGCACTGTTTCACACTCTCAATCCCGGGCTCTTCCTTTTTCCAGCACCCTCCACCACCATAATTGTCTCAGCGCCTTTCCCTTCCCTCCTACGTCTGTGCTCTCAGAGAGGTGTTACCATGGAAACTGGCTACAACTGATGGAGCTGAAACTTCACGATTGGCATACAATTGGCAAGTGCACGCACAAGGCAGAGTTGCATGCATGCAGACACACACATTGTGTCTATTCATTATAATGCAAGACACTCCGGGATGTTGCATACTATTATGGATGTTCAGACATGCGTACAGAAGAACATACAGTGTATAACGGCAACATTTGAGAGGCAGAAAGCACCATTTCAGGAATTGATTTAATTAAATAAGTGTATTTTGACATGGCTATTGAAGGGTGAGAATGGGAAAAGTGAAAATGACCACCTTATTCACTAATCAAGCCTGGTTATTACATTTACATAAAGTCTATTTACATGTATTGACATGCTGTTGTGTTTTGTTTTTTTGATTCCTAAAATAAAGGAGCCGATGTGCTTGCTGCTGTGTCCAAGGATATGTCAAACCTGTTCACACTTGTGTTATATTTAAACAGCGGATCGTCTGTACATACAGAAACCTGTGACAGTGACTCAGATGTTGTCTCATTTCTATAAAAACCCATCTCTTCTATCTGTAACTAGAAAAAAAATCAATTAATTGCCTTATTTTTTTACAAAGCTTGACATTGTATTTGTCAATAATGTGCAAATTACTTTCTAAAACCAATCACAAAAAACGTCCTTTAAAATGTGTTTATCCTTAAACTAAGAACTAAATCAGCACACCATTTATAAACTAAAGTGTCTGTAGGCACGCTGGTGTCTTTTGTTAAGACAAGTTGTCAATACATTATCGAACTCCTGAAACTTTTGCCAAGATGATTTAAAAACTATTGTAATGGTCTTGCAACTCAATTTAAGATATCATAATAAGATCAAATCAGAACATATTTGAATGGGGGGTTTATATCTGAGGTATCCTGTGCTCCTTTTGCTCTCAGTAAAGACCATGACAGTGTCTTATTTTGCTCCTGTTGACAAAGTATTGTAATATTGATCAATAAAGACTTGGAGGATTTTATTCCTGTTACATTGTTTTACTATTATTACTGAAACCAATCTATCTCTCAATCAGATGCATTATATGTCATGGTATCATCATGTTTTACTGATATGTAAAGTAACATTTATTTTATGAAAATGTCTCACAGTATGCAATACTTTGTATTTTGAAACAAAAAAGAGAATAAAGTCCAATAACACAAAAGGATAGCTATGGACACCACGGCAGGTGCAACAAGTTCTATGAAGTCACATTCATAATGCAGTTCCTTTAGAATCAACAGCAGATAAATGAATCACCAAAACACACAACACAGAGATGTACAACCGTTTTTAAATGCCAACCATGACAATTAGGATTGTTGTACTCACATGTGTCAATTAGAGTCTTGTGCACCAAAAGTCCTCCTCTGCTCCCGCTTCAACTTCCCTGCTGTTCATTTTCATTGCATTACATATAGTCCACTTAGCCTCTCTGTCCCACTATAACCAATCCCAGTTTCAATTTCACAATGACCTCAACCAATACAAACATCAGAAAGGCCTCATTGAAGGCTCCCGAGTGAACGCTGAGCATTTAGCATAGCATTTATAGCATTTAGCATAGCATTTAGCATGCCGGACCCACCATGCATCTGTGTGTTTGATTAAGAGTGGTTAATAGGTGGTGAATTAAACCAGAGATAAATGAATAGAGATATCACTTTTAATTTCAGTCATTTTTTAATATTGCATTGTCGTGCTGTTCACAAACTGCTAGTCCCATCCAGGGTGAGACCACACCCCTTTATGTCAGTGAGTACTTTAATGAACATGCTACATGCATATTTTCTCGTATGTCATCTCTCTTGAACTGTGCCCACCTGCAGCCGCAGACTCGCAGCTTCTTCTCTGCTGTTTGTATCCCTTTTCTTATCTTGTCCGTTTCCTTTATGTGACTTCTATTTTGACTCTGAAACAGATGCAACTTCAAATTTAGCAAAGCATAATACCTCAAATGTGTATAATAGTTTAGTCAAAGTAGCTATTTGTTTGCTTCCCTTCATTGATTTCAACAGCACCATCAAAATTAACAATTGGAATATGCGTTATTATCTGCTAGGTACTATAATAAATTGGTACAAGAGCCGTATAATAAACAACATTGGGGAAAATACACTGAACAAAAATATAAACGCAACACTTTTGTTTTTGCTCCCATTTTTCATGAGATGAACTCAAAGATCTAAAACATTTTCAGGGGGTCTGGGGGGGGTCCGAAAACCAGTCAGTAACTGGTGTGAGGGTTAGGATTAGGGCCCATGGTGGTGGTGGGGTTATGGTATGGGCAGGCGTATGTTATGGACGATGAACACAGGCCACTCGATTCACNGGATTGTTAGAATTATTGGTCAAACTCCCTTATAAGAACTGAGTAAGATATGTAAATTGTAATGTCTAATCTCCCTAATTTAAGTAGCTTAGCAACAATAAACATTTACAAGTCAAAGCATAAGTGCCTCAATCGTTTTCTCAGTCCACACATACGTCGAGACGTCCTATACGAAATTGCTTTATACCCACCAATTTAGTTTGGACTTCACATACTGATTTGGGTATTTAGTTTCTTTTGATTTTGTGATGACGCATTTAATAAATGGAGCAGACAGGTTCTAAAGGATCAAACTACAAAAGAAGCTGACTATAATAAGCGACACAAATAGGTATACTGGAGTATTTGACGGGGGTACTCCCAACCTAATCAAAGCAGAATGCAGACTTGAACCTAATATTACATTGAACAAAAATATAAATGCAACACTTTTGTTTTTGGGTTAGGGTTTAACCCTAGGGTTTTCGGACCCCCCCAATAAAGCAAAACTGCACGTTTCAGAGTGGCCTTTTATTGTGGCCAGCCTAAGGCACACCTGTGCAATAATCATGCTGTCTAATCAGCATCTTGATATGCCACACCTGGGTGGGATGGATTATCTCGGCAAAGGAGAAGTGCTCACTATCACAGATTTTTTCAGATTTGTGAACAATATTTGAGAGAAATGGTTATTTTGTGTGTATAGAAAATGTTTTAGATCTTTGAGTTCATCTCATGAAAAATGGGAGCAAAAACAAAAGTGTTGCGTTTATATTTTTGTTCAGTGTAAATATACAAACAGTACATGTACTTTACATACCTAAAACCTGAGAATATTGTTAGTTATTTCATCATGAATCCAGCCACCATGAAGGCACTGGCAGCATTATACAAGCACATAATTAGCACTAAGTAACATGAAAAACAACACAAATGGCTTGAGTGCTGTGTAAACAAAGCTAGGGGCCAACTGCACTGTTAATGGGCTTAAAGGGTGAATATAAGGTATTAGTATATGCATTAGTGGAGGGCCCTTTCTTACGTATGCGGACACCTCACTGCAATGTGACACACATATTATTTGCAGTGTATATGCACAGGGTTATAATTGAAAAAGGGATTATATGCAAACAAATTGGGGGTCATTTGCAACAAATTAGGTATAAATCTGTTTAAAAAAAGGTAAAAACAGGTAAACTTCACCATTAAAATGCCAAGTTGCTGGCGTTTATATATTATGGAAGATTTACTTCTTAGTAACCACCTATTCAAAGAATTTTCTTCAAGGTGAGGCAGCAGTCCATTCAAAATACGACCACTTGCCTCCCACACAGTGAATCAACCTGCTCTTATTCAATGCTTAAGTAGGAGCACGGCGTTAATGATTATTGAGGCCTTTTTTAAGGAGCCTCTGACAGCAGTTACTAATGCAGCCCATATACTTATTGTTCTCTCAGAGTAATTAGGGAAAAGACCATTATTGAAAGCTGAAGCCTGACAGATAAAGCCCAGCGGCTCGGAGAACGTTTGCCATTAAGGTTTGAACACGTGAGAGAGAAGCCATTTAAGCAGGATGATGATAACAGGTTGGAAAGGTTATTACAAACTCACATAGCTGTTAGCAGCCATCTTCACAGACTCAAAAAGGCAAACGTATAAATAGTCATACAAACATTTCAGCCCCCCGGAGCACTTTCCCGGACATTCACAGTCTGCGAGGTGAATGAAATGATGATGCAAGTGTCATTTTGGGTTTTGTTTATTTTAAATGAATTTTACAAACACGCTTTAAAAAAAAGTAGACATTGTAAAAAAACAAGCATGGTAAAAATGCCTTTTATTAAAATAAGGCACTAATGTTTTTATGGAATTGCATTTCATCTGTCATTTTTCTAGGGTTGTATTTTCCAATTAAAAATGTGTTTTATTTTCTCACGTTTACAAAAACTAATTTTCTTATCTAATTTTTATGAGAAAGAATCCCAAGGCCTGTGCTGTGTTTGGATGTACGGATTAACCATTATCAGACTCCTATGAACTTTCAAAGTCAATATTCAACAACTTAGAAAATAGTGATCCAGTGAACATCATTTTGTATTTAAACATGCAAAAGCACCAGATATTATTTGTGGTCTATGAAAGTGAAAATGGATTCACATTTCAGGTTATTGCTATGAGGACTTGAAGGATGTTGTGAGACAGTTTTGGTCCTTTTCCAGCCACCTGCTCTGCTGTTTAGTAGACATAAGGGAAGATCCTGTAGGGGACACGTTGACAGTATGTGTCCCACGCTAGTCCGTATTTGGCCCTGCACTGTCTCTCATCACGGTCCTCTCGGTGAATCAGCAACACGGCGAAATATATGACATAAAAATAAGGCAGGAGATGTGAGAATCCTAAAGAAAAGACGAGAAAGCATGAAATGTTAGCAAGAGGAAACTAATAATGACAAAGTGAAACTATACCCTATATAATTCACAGAGGACTGTATTCATTTAAATTGATAATGACACCTTTTTCCACTAATAATATCATTGTTCGTGATGTGAATGGCATCAGAGAAGATGTAATCAAGTGTGCATCCTCCTCTGAAAAAAGCTGAACATTTCCTTTTCAATCTGTCAAGAGCCTGAACTGAATACAAGTTTGATTAAGCTCCAAGTGTTTATTCTCCTAAATGCTAATTTGAGTTTTTCAGAATAACACCTTTGTGTCCTTCAGTCAGGGTCTGGATGTGACCACTGTTCCACTTTCATACGTCTGGAATACGCTGTCATGATTTATTTTCTTTTTGATTGTACAGTTTAGCAATATGTGACTTTCTTACAGCAGCATTCAAGGCAGACACTACAGTACATCTCAATTACAAAAGCAGCTACACAAGTGAGTCATATAGAGTTTGAATACCGATGAGCAGAATGTGTCAGCTGTGACAAAAGTCTGACAGCAGCCAGAAGAGGAAGTGAGTTTTCAAGGGAACATAAGGCAGCTTACGGAGGAACAAAGAGAACACATTGTTGCTGTCTCTATGGCTTCTGCATCCCTCACAAACAGGGTGTAATTATCTAATAAGGCAAGGAAGGAAATAAGATACATTTGTGGTTGCTGCTGAAATGTCTTAAAAGGCAGAAATGTCAGAAACTGAAGGTTGGCATAACTGAAGGTTGGCATAGAAAGAATATCAGATTCTTAATTTTGTTCCCCTTTTTTTGTCATGTAGTTCCTGCTTTAAATCAATTATAAATTGATATTTTCAAAGCAACAATGGATCACATGATTATTTTTAATGGGGAAGGGATAAACCCACAGAAACCTAGGTTGTCAAAAATAGCAATATCGATTTAACTTGTTAAATATAGACATATTTGAAAGTTTATACAGCTAAAATACAACAGTTACTTTAGGAATTTAGGATACTAACAATTAGGGAAATTATTTTTTATAGTCTTTCCTTGATCAAGCCATAAACTGTACACAAAAGGCAACAATTGAAAGTAAGATGTTACATTTCAAAATGCTGTTTTCATCACACGTTACACATCGCAATGACGATATATTAAAACACTGTTTTGCACAGCCCTAATACACACATTGGTGCATGCACATTTGTGTTAAATGTCTAGCAATAAATCCATCTGGATACGATAAATCACCAGTCTGAAATTCTCTCATTATTTCTTCTTTCTAACGAAGACTCAAAGAGATCGTGCCATGTCATTGTGGCCTGGATGCAATAAGAGCCTTGCACAGGCTTCAAAGATGTCTTACCACATGGCAGAGACCAGGCGAGGGCCATGAGGAGGTCCCCGAGGTAATTGGGATGACGAACGAGACCCCACCAGCCAGACACCAGCAGACGCTTCCCTGTTGCTGTGGCGATGGTCTCCAATCCTGCGAAGAAACGCGTCAATATTTAGATATCTAGAAGAACAAATCACTTTAGAGATCATACCCAAAGGTATTTAGAGCACGAGTTGAGAAACATACGAATAATTAAGTTGTGAAAGAAAAGTTGGATAATTTGTCTTTTGTTTTATGTTTATAAAAACTACTGACTTGCGACACTTGGATGTGTAGGGTCTCGTCTGAACTGGTTCTTCTGTGAGTTGGATTTTCTGAAGACATAATATCCAATACCTTGTGGCAAAGAGACAAATGTTAACATCACCATATTTTGCCATGAATAAAACATGTTACAGCTTGATAAATAAGCGAGCAAACACGATTACCATTCAGTGCTATAATGGCTGCTGCTCCCAGTGAGCTGAGGGTCTGGGGGTGCACCACCAGGAAGGCCGCCTGCATGCCGTACGTGAAGGGGACCCAGGCCAGGTCCCCGAACACCAGCATGAAGCCAAAACCATCATGCACTATGTCCATGGTGGTCAACACGGCCTCCTGTTTAAACACAACAGTTCATGGCATGAGGGTTATTTGATCTATTATTTAATTTGTTTATTTGACAAGGTCAGTGCACCTTAATAGACATTTCTGTAGATGCAACAGAGTTTGCCAAGAGGCTATTTTTCATCTGTCGTCCCTGGACAGATGTTGTAAAGCATGGGGGTTACTAAGGGGAGGCTAACAGGGTTCGGTGCCTCTTTAACATTGAGCTCGGACCCCCCTGTTGCCCCCCTCCAAAAGAAGAATACAATTTGTGATAGGTATTTTATACTGAACAGAGTGTTTCAAGTGTTGAAATCTTGAACACTGTCTTGGTCTCCTTTTTCCACTCAATGTGCCTCTTCCATAAAAGATCTGGCCCCTGCACGTGTTATTGGTTTAAAACTGCCACTGTTGTAAAGTAGCCCTAAAGACAATGGATTTGAAATGCAAAATAACAAGTTAATACAATCAGAGTCCTACAATACCAAAAAACAAAAACATACGTGTTAAAAAAGCAAGATGGTAGCCATAGGTTATAGTGGTACCTAGAGTAAAGAAAGAGGGCAGTTCAGTGCACTTTTAGGGTTGACGCCAGATCAGATTGATAACTTACCAGTTTATAAAGTAAAACAAAAATAAGAAAATAATAGCTACAAATCTCTCTCTGGTGCGCCACTTTTGAAATATTTGCAGGGGAAAAATCATAATTGAATAATGACAGAAGAATTTAAAGCATGATCTTTGTTTCTGTTACCTCGTTCCACAGAGCGTCCGCCACATACAGCAGCTGGAAACTGTTGACCAGTATCATGGCGAGAGACGGGGACCCTAGGAGCTCCACCTCCTTCATCAGCATGCCCAGGTTTATGACCACCTGAGAGGTAAAAATACTGATTAGCCATCACTAGTTAGGAAACATTTTACACTGGCACTTCCTGGTAGTCAATCTCAATATACGATAAATGGATAAGATGGAAAAAAGTAGTTGTCAGGTCATCTAAAACAGGGGTTCCCAACCCCCGGTCCGCGGAGGTGTTACTGCCGGGCCGCAAAATAGCTGTGAGTTTATCGTAATATTTGCAGAATTATAAATATTTTAAAATATTTTATCCATTTTTTTCTTTTTTTTTCTTTTCTCACCTATACCAGTCATATTATTTCATCCAAAACATCCAAAAATAAATCAAAATTGGTTAGCATAAGGTCTCAGCCTCTCGTGCACAGAGAAAGTTACCGGTGCGCCAATAGGAAGTGGAGCACACAGGAGACAACCGTTGAATCGCAGACTGTTATGTTTATGTGGGGAAATGGCAGTGCATACATTATTTGAGATATATTTCGAACTCGGACTTCATTTTAAGGACATTGCGGCCAGGGGTGTAGAGCTATTTTTTTTAAAACCTCCTTCACTTCATGAAATGGCTGCAGCATCAGGAGGCAGCCTCTGAGAAGTACAGCACCAGTGCGTACACACCGCCTTCACTGTGTTCCCCACTGCAGGCTGCTACGTTTCAACCACACACACCTCTACACACACACACATCGAACGGCCTGATTATTCCCCCTATTCCTCGTTGTATGAAGGAAATGTCCGGTCACAAAGGCGCATGATGTGTGTGTCTATGTGCTCTGCTCAGCTCCGCTGTGTGTGTGTGTGTATGTTCGGTGTGTTTGTGTGTGTCCAACAACGGCATTTGTTTTCAAATTACCATGAACAGTAATTTACACAAATCTGGCCAACTCCATAGGTATGTGGGTGTTCCCAAAAGAAGTTAGTTTAATCTTAATCTCGATGTAGTGCTAAATGCTGTCGGAGTGCACCTGAACGAACGCCCCGGTATGACGTTATTATGGCTGGCAAACAAGCCCAGGGGTCTCCCTGACATTTCAGTTATATCAATATGTGTACAGTGGTCCTAATTTGTTTTAATTGTATCCTGGTTTTAAACGTTGTTAATATGTTTTGGATGCATATTGTTCTATTATTTGTTACATACAATAATAATATTGCCATATTAGGCTATATTATATTATATATTAATATTTGTAAAGCGGTCCTAATTTTTTGTTTGAATTGTATCCTGGTTTTAAACGTTATTAATATGTTTTGGATGCATATTGGTATTTCTTCAGTCTGTTAAATACAATGAGCCTCTGTTGCCACCTGCTGGTGAGTAAATATTAAAATCAGCAAAAATGTACAACCGGTCCGCACATTTTTTTTAATTGTATCTGCCGGTCCTTGGCACAATAAAGGTTGGGAACCCCTGATCCAAAACACTCAGAGACTGACACAAAAACAGCACCCAACACGGTCAAATCCAGAGATATATCGTACAGGTTTACCTAATAAATGTACAATTAAATTAGATCACATTAAAAAAATAACGTTCTAAGATTCCAGCTGTGGTACCTGTTGCATGTCACCTCCTCACTTTCAGCCCTGCCTCTACACTTTTCCTTATTTGAGATTTCATTACGCTGAGATTTTTATCCAAAGCAACTTACAATGAGTGGAATAAACCATGAAGATACCAAATCAGAACAGGAAGAAACATCTTTAAAAAAAACTATACAATTTTACCAGGGAAAA